TACCTTTAGAAAAAAATAACCTTTCTGTATTGCCATGGCCTTTTTGCCCCAGCAGTTGCAAGAAATATTTCTCGGCAACAAGACTAAAAATTATTAAAATAATATATATTTTTTTTAAAAATCACCAATTTTATCAATTTCTAAATCCTCCTGATTTCAAGAAGACTATTAACATAGTGAAGTCCTACACCAAACTGAGAGTGCATCTACATTGCAGAAATAATGCAGCTTGACATCACTTTTAAGTGCTATAGCTCCATCATATGGAATAAGATTTATAGTCTCTCATTCCAGTCAAAATGCTAAGGGGATTAATTCTCACTGGACTGTACTCTTGTTTCTTGGGTGAGGTGGTAGGTGGTAGGTGAATGGGAGATGACAAATCCAGTTACAGGTTGAATCTCCCATATCTGGAATTCCAAAATCCAAAATACTACAAAATCCTTTTTCTTGGGTAGTTGAAGTAGTGACACCTTTGTTTCTGGTCCCAAGAATTTCAGATAAGGGAGACTGCATTGTTTTTTTAAAAATATGTTAATTTTCCTTTCTGCTTGGAAACAACACAGCTACTTCAGAAATGCATATTCTGTCATTTTGGAGCTAATACTTGAAGTGAGCTAGCACTTCAGCAGTAGATTTTGTGTGTTGTGATATAGGATTTTCATTGTCAGAGGTTGGAGGAGGCCATCTCCTCCACATTCCAGCTTTCAGTAATACTTTCAGTTTAAAAAAACACACACACAATAAAAATGAATGAGAAAAATTGAAACTGAATCATAATGCAATTAATGATTATGATATTAAATATTATAACTGTTATATCTTTTAGGATTTGGTTGTCAGGAAAAAACAACTGTGATCCATACTAGTACTTAGCCATTCCCAGAGGTTTGTCCATGTGTGATAATCCTCTTGAATTATTCTCTTTAAGTGGAATACTTTCATACTAAAACATAGATAGACTAAACTGGGGAGGGCCATCTGACTCGGCTACAAGCCAGACAGGGTCACTAGAGGATGCCCTACTCCTATCCTTGTCATGGATAAAAAGAGAAATATGAGGAACATGTAAGCATTGGTGACTCCAATGGCACCTGCATGCCAAAAGGGGAGGACTTTGCCACTGCTGTCTTGCCTCTGATATCAATGACAGGAAAGGTGCAGAGGCAGAGATGTGTATACACAGAAGCAAATGCATGTTTGGGGAGGGGAGCTGCCAACAATGAACATTCTACTTTTTACTTCTGGGTTACTGGACTCAAATTTTGCCACTGGCTTCAGGACACATCCTTGGTAGCCACATTCCCCTCAAAATATTCTTGTCATGCACCATTAGAAACTGTTGCTCAAGAAACTCAAGTCGAAACTGACCATTGGCATGTGGAATTAGTCATGCAAGTTTTTAGATCTATGTCCCTGTGGAACATATATCACCTGGGGCTAATCCTTGAGTCAAACAAACCTTTGCTCCATGGCTCAATGCTATGGAATTATGGGCTTTGTAGTTTTATGAGATAGTCTTCCTTATCAGAGAGCTCTGGCGCCACAACAAACTATTAAATTGCCTCTATAACCAATAATTTTTAACTTGAACCCTTTAGGAGTCAGCAAAATTTGTACATTATTCACAACAATGCTAAAATAGAATGGTAAGAATGATGTAAATAAATTCCACTGATCCTAAATAAGCCTGAGGCAGAATATATTTTTACTGAAATATCCACATGGAAAGAAATATATACCTTAATCTGGGGGTTGGCAACCTATGGCCCCCGGGCCAATTCCGGCCCAGGGCCCCCGCATACCGGCCTCCGCCGACCCCTGCCGCTGACCCCTGCCACCGCCGCTGCAAGTTTCAGCCGCATGCAAAATAAAATGGCAGCCAAGACACGTTTGTGCATGTGCAGTACCCCTGCACATGCGCAAATGCGTTGCACCCGCCATTTTGGAAAACAAAATGGTGGGCGCTACATGCACAGCAGCAGCGGAGGCAGCGCACGCGCTGGGGGTTGCACACGCGTGCGTATCGCCATTACCTCCCCCCGGCCCGCCGGAAGGGAGGACTTCAGCGGACCAGCCCCCGGCTGAAAAAGGTTGCCTACCCCTGCCTGAATCCTTTGAAGAACCTGGAATTTTGTATATAAAATTCTTCAAAGAAACAGTCTAGAATTTTGGGGGAAAAAAACTCAAAAGAGGGATGGCATGGGAGGAGAGAAGAAATGAGAAGAAATGCCCCACCCCCTCCTCCC